GACGAAAATTCGTGACTTCTCGGGATCAACCTTTTTCAGAGCTGAGCCCAGTAATCTCTATCTTACATCGATGCATTTCCCTGTTTAAATTTTGATTTATTTTTTTTCAATATCAGGTACAAGCGATGGTACATGTATCCATACTACAATAGACAATCTGACAAGCCAAAATGAACAAAGGCGATTAGTAAATAGTCAGAAGAAACGTATTGTACTCAAATATATCGGTAAAATGCATCTGATCGATGATATATGGAATAAAAGAAATGAAAATGTTATTGAAGGACAACATTTGGTTTGTCAACAACATCATGGTTTCCTATTCTCCGTGGCTCGTATCGAAAACGTGATTGAAAAAGATCTATTAGGATCAACAACTCCAAACAAACGTCAACTCTATCGTAGTACTAGTGAAGAAACGCTTCACTCAAAATTTTACGACTGTTTGCTTAAGTCAAATCGAAATAGTCGCATGATAAGACAACTGTTACTGAAGAACGAATACAATTTAAAGGCGAAATCAGATTTGTTCACTCAAGATAATTCTAGTGCGGAATCGCCACATATACACAATCAAAGAAAAAGATACACAAATTGCACATCTAAATCAACAATACGACCAAATTCGTATCGCACAATTGGATGTTTTACAACAAGTTGACAAAATCGTAAATCGTATAAACAACATTAACCAACAATATGCTATAGAGCAAGATGAAATCGAACAAATTAAAAAAGAATTTGACTTCATTCTAGAACATCTTAACAATACTAAATTAGACGTACAAATAGCCAAACCAGCCATGTCTTCGAATGGCAATTCATATTATCGTTCAAGTTCGGAAAATATGAACACTTTCATGCAAATGAAATGTAGCTCAATCGAATACGATATTGCCGATACAACAGTAGCAAATAAAAATCAAATATTAGAAAATCAATTACAACAATACATTTATCAGTTCAAAATAGGAGAGGAACATAAAATGACAAATTATCTGAATGCAAACGAACAAAGAACAGGAGACACTTTTGAAATCAAATCAGAAGTCGACATGAATAATCATAAATATGAAGATGATATTCATATTAGTGGAAAAAAGAAGCACACAAATGGTGGAATCAATCAATCGAACGAAAAAGTTCAATTAAAATCGACATATTCACTTCGAACTGATTCAATCGACATACCGTGCACTGCAGCCGAGGCACTAATGAGTGAGAGTGCTCTTGACGCACTGAACCAATGGTTGGAGATTCAAACTGCTGAGAGACGTGTGGCTTGGGCATTATGTGAATTGCCGGGGGTCTATGCCCTGTCATCAAGTTTTGGCGCACAAGCTGCAGCTTCGCTACACTTATTGACGGCGCAAAAACCTGATATTCCAGTACTACTCGTGGATACAGGGTATCTTTTTCCTGAAACCTATAGTTTTATTGATCAATTACGTGAACGTTTACAACTCAATCTTAATGTATTGCGTCCGGAGATTTCAGCTGCTTGGTTTGAAGCACGCCATGGTCGTTTATGGGAACAAGGTTTAGATGGAATTGATCTTTACAATCATCTAGTAAAAATCAAGCCGATGCAAGTTGCTCTCGAAAATCTTGGTGTCGAAACTTGGTTCGCCGGTTTGCGTCGCAATCAATCTGAAAGTCGCCAACAAATTCGCATTATCGAACGTCAAAATGGCCGATGGAAAGTGCATCCGATAGCTGATTGGACCGATCGCGATGTTGGCATGTATTTGAGGCGACACAATTTGCCATATCATCCACTTTGGGAAAAAGGCTATGTTTCGATCGGCGATGTTCACACTACTCGACCTTGGGAACCTGGTCTACGCCAAGAAGATACTCGTTTCTTTGGTCTAAAGCGCGAATGTGGCCTTCATCGACACAGTTGGCCTTAAGCTCGATTCAATCTGGTGCTTCTTTTAATAGTCTATACCATCGATTTCGTACTTAAAGATACGATAATTCCTTATCTTTATATGGTTTCTAACCTTCACAAGACCAAGTAAAGCATAAAAAGTATATTTTGACAGACTTAATACAAAACAGTCGAAACAAATTATTAAATTATTAATAGTATTCCTCCTTGTCAACGCATTGTTTTTTTTTCATCATATTGACTACAATTTTTCTAACATCCTCCTGTTCATTTTCATACTTGCTATCACGTAAAATGTTTCCAATATTAATGAAATACTCGATCATTTTCGAATCTTGTAGTCTTGCTGAATAAAATGAAAGAAAATAAGATAAGTACACATTTTTTGAAGGCTAATTTAGGAAACAAACAGCAATGAATGAATTAACTTGGTTGCATAAGAAAATCTTAATTTTAGAAGACGTATATTCGATTGATGGCCTTTAAGTACGATGTAAGCTACTCATATAAACATGATTAGGATGAGGGTGTGGGTGGAAATATCTTTCTTTTCACCCACACACGCTCTTAAGGGTGGTTGCAGATGTAGATCTTCTTTTCAACAGCATTCACACCGACGCCTTGCCAATACACTTAATGTCTTAGGTAAAGGTTATCACTATCTATTGCGCATTTGAATATTATTCTTTATTAAGATTATTTGATATTGTAGATCAACAAGAACTTATCAATTAATATCTGTCAATTATTCAAAAAGTTACATTTGAAGATCTCTCATTAAGAAATAAGCACAATATTATTTCTTCTGCTGTTTTCACTTCGTACACAACTATGTACTAAAACTTATTCATTACAGAATATTAATTGCTTTAAAAATTTGAAGATTTGTATAAAATATTTAAAAAATTATTTGTAATCTTATAAAAAAATTTATTCTTTCAAAGTTTTTGAATATGACTTATTTCTCTCGTAGGATGAATTTTATTTTCGAGATATTAGTAACTGTTTTTGAGCAATAGATAATTTGAGAGTACATCTACGAAGAATCTTTATTTTCGTTCAATCAATTTTCTTTTTCAGTAAGATTATATAAGAAATATTCTTGTCAAGAAAAATTATAACAAATTTATCTAACAAGAAAACAAAATAGAACAGTGTCTTTTTTCTTATATTCTATATAGTATAAAAATGAAATTTTTAGAATTTCACTGATATTTGTCTTTTTTGATTCGTTCAAAGGAAAAATATCAACTAACTTGTATTAACAGGCATATTTACACGAAGTCAAACGATGAATATTGATTACTAACCGAGATAGTACTATGATTCCGTATAATAGTAACGATTGAAGACGAGCAGTTCAAACACATTGTGACGTTATCGGGTAGATGGAGTTCTTTGACGCTTGATAATCTTAATAATATAATTAAAAAAAACAAAGCATCATCAATGATATTAACTGAAAAGCTGCAAAGGTGAACATTCCTAATTCTGAATGGGTAGAAGCATACTAATGAAACTACTTTCATAGTTATTGGACATTGCTCAATTTCAAATTTAAAAGATACACTTTTTTCAAATACTTTTACGTATTGATAAAACATTGACGAAAGATGCGACAAAATAACCTTGTTAGAGTTTTGACAAGAAACGATTTAGCAAAATTCACCTAATTTATGATTAGAGAAAATTGATTCAAAAATAATTCACACGTCATTGCCTGTAAATATCTTTCGATTCATTGTTCAAGAGTAGATTATATGTTAAGAAGACAGATTGAAATGAATTCAATATCATGCCTATACCAACTTGAAAGAGTATGATTGTAATAATTAGCTGACGATCAATCCTACACAGTCCAGCTCTTCGAGTTATTAGATTTTCTACATGATTTTATGACTTGAAAATACGTATGAGAGTAATGATGCTAACAGCAAACATGATTCTATAGAATAAAATTATCTTACAACCAAGGCCTACATACAGGATATGCCAAAAGTTAGTATCCTTTAAGAATTGTGTATAACTCCATCATTAATCAAGTTTTATCAAATGATTTTTTTATAACGACAAAGTTCATAAATCCTCTTCAAAAGTATCACCTTTAACTTCAATACAAAAGTTTAGGTATTTTATAATTTTCGAAAAAAAACGATGCAACATTTCTTATTATTTTGATTTCTTTCATTATTCGAGTCTTCAAAGTATAAGGATCTTTTATAGTTGTTTGGTTTGATGTGAATCAATAGATAGAAGCCCAATGGTGTCAAGTCTAGCGACTGAGGGGTCCATGATCTTGACCGATCTCTTCCGATTCAGCTGTTATTGTAGATTTCGTTCATAAAGATACGGACCGATTAAAAAAATCGGGTGATGCTCTATCTAGCTGGAGAATGATGGAGTTACTCAATCGTTTCTTCTATAAAATCAGATAAGAGGAATTCTGGAGTATTGTGAAACAGTTGTATTGGGTTACTGTTTCATCATCAATTACCAGTGGATCGAAAGAAGTGTACCAATATTATGGATCTTTCAATCACTAGACTTGACACTATTATACTTATATCTATGAGTTCACATCAAACCGTATGTCAACCAAACAACAGTAAAAGATCTTCATTCTTTAAAGATTCGAATAAGGAAAAAAATCGATATAATAAGAAATGTTGCTTCATTTTTTTTTCTAAAATTATGAAATACCTAAATTTTTGCATTGGAATCTAAGGTAATTCTTTTGAAGATTGTTTATGAACTTTTATCTATATGAAAAAAATACGCTTGTTGGTCTCTTCTATGTAAAATAATTATTAGACTAAGCTTGATTAATAATGAATTAAAAAATAATTTAATTCTTTCTACTAGTTTTTCTTTTGGATATTTTGTGACAAATACATATGTTTTGATGTTATTTTTTGTGCAATGCCTGTGGACAAATTGTTTCGTGCGCAACTCGTGCATCTTGTAAAAATATGTTTGCGATAAAATGTGTAACAAAAAAAAATAAAGAAAAAAGAGTAAGAAACGTATGCAGTTACCTTGTTGCAAAGGTAAAAATGAATCATTCACAAAAATAAATAAACAGTCTTACATACAAACCACCGAGCTTCATCAACAGCAACTGGAAACAAAATTTTCTCAGTATATTCAGTCATTTATGAGAATAATGCCAAAAGTAGGAACGAACTTGTTAAAATAACACATACATAGTAAGAATATGATCTGCACATTAGACACGATTGGAACAGATATAAAATCGATCACGATGTTCGACTTTTCTTTTGGACAATTGATTAATAAATGTTTGTTAGTTAGTACTCTTCTTGATTCACTTTACCGTTTCCATCTTTCTTTCATTTGTTACTTTGAGTAGGGTGGGGGTGTATCTCAAGAGAAGGCGCAAATCTCAAAGCCACTATTATTTGATTTCTCGCTTTTATTTTCGTCAATTTGACTTCTGGTCCACGCTAGAGTATATCCAAGCTAACAGTTGCTGCATTCTTCAAATCTTTTTTTTTTAATCAATTATTTATAGATTTCATTGCAAAAGCTTGTTTATCAAACTGAAAAATTTATACAATCTGATTTGAATACTGTAATAGTAAAAAAATTCTTCAATAGTAAGTTCTATTAAACAAAAATGAAAAAAAAAGTCAAATGATTAGTTTTTCTCATAAGTTAACTTTACTGTTGATGAAATACGGAGTTTGATGAACAAAAGGAAGAATATGCGAAATATGTTCGTCATTGCTCATTTTGGCCATGGAAAATCATTACTAACTGATTTGCTTGTATGCAAAGCTAGTATTATTGCTTCACAGAAGGCTGATGAAATGCATTTTACAGATACACAAAACGATGAACAAGAACGATCTATTAAACTTAAATTAACGTAGGAATGAAGAAAACGTTTTTCGGTTTTTATCATAGAAAGTCATATTTAGAGCTATTTTACTTTTTTATGTGTTATCTGCTAAAGATTTAGAACTCATCAAACAAGAATATGAACTTAATGTATCTCATTTTTTAATTAGTCTTATTGATTCGCGGGTTTACGTTGATTTTTCATCGAAAGTTACTGCTGCTTTAAGTGTTACCGATGGTGATCTTGTTGTTGTTGATTGTATTTCAGGTCAAAGCTATTCCTTGAATAAATAGAGTTTTATTCTATGAGAGAAATAGTTTTTGAACCTAAGGTGTCCGTCTACAAACTGAAACTGTTCTTCGTCAAGCTATTACTGGACGTATTAAACCAATTTTATTTATAAATAAAATGGATCGTGCTTTACTTGAGCTACAACTAGAACAACAACAATGTTTTTGAAACATTTCAACGTATTGTTGACAATATCAATGTCGTCATTGATATTTATGGCGATCATAATGGTCCAATGGGTGATTTAAAAGTAAGAAGCCTTAGTCTTTAACTGTACTGAGAAATTCATGGATCAACGAAATTTATTTGGATTTTTTGTGGATACAGTGTTTGCGACTGTGGTCATAAATTATAAATTGTCCCGTAAAGAAAACGTCAACAATATGTTATCAGTTTGTTATATTTTTAATTTAATAATATGATTATTTTAGGTTGATCCAGCAAAAGGTACAGTTGGTTTCGGTTCTGCTCTTTATGATTGAACTTTTACACTGAACTAATTTGTTGAAATGTATACATTAAAATTTCATATTGAAATTGATTCGTTAATGGAATGATTATGGGGAAATAATTTCTTTTCACCAACAGAAAGAAAATGGTGAAAAACTGGTGGAGAAGGTAAATGATTTCTAAAAGAAAAACGAAAATAAATTATTGTTGAATAATATATTACGTTATGTACGGGGTTTTTGTCCATTTTGGTCTTGATCCTATATTCAAAGTTTTCAAAGGCATTATTGACTGAAGAAAAGATGAATATACACGATTACTCGAAAAATTAAATATTAAATTACTAGATAAAGATCGTGATGAATTAGAACAAGGTGATATACCACTTTTAAAACTTGTTATGAAACAATAGTTATCAGCTGGTAATGTTCTTTTTACAATGATTGCTATACATTTACCATCACCTGTTGTTGCACAAAAATATTGTGGTAAACTTATTTATGAAGTTATGTTTATCGAAGAAAATTAATATTAACTTAAGTTGAGATATATATTTATTTAGGTCCACATGATGATGAATATTTCGAAAATGGTACCAACATCGGATAGAGGTCATTCTATGCTTTTGGTCGTGTCTTTTCGGGTGTTGTTAAGTCAAATCAACTAGTTCGTATTATGGGTCCTAATTATGTACCAGACAAAAAAGAAAATCTTTTTGTAGATAGATCTTCATGAGTAGAAACAAAAACTGTGCCACACTCAAAAAATTCTCGGATGCTTCATTATAAGAGATATTCGGTTCACATAGGCACAAAATACCTCATATTCTCAGCCCCAATACATCTGATAGAACGGTATATATTTTTTTGAATATTTGACGTGCCTATTGGTTTTGGCTTCTGCTTATCTCTTTTTAGCATACCATAAAAAATGCTTGCTTTTTCTGGAAAAGTCTGCTTAAAATTCACGATGCAAGTTCTTTTTTTGTGTACAAATCGATTTTGAGAAGACACATTTTCCTATATGTATCAGGACTTGTTTCTCCAACCAAAGTGATCGAAAACTGGCCGTGTTCAACGGTGTGACGAATTCATGACATATGCTTTAAGCAACTTTTAAATGAATCATTAGCGTAATTTTTTATAGACCAGAACACTAGTAACACGAGGTTTTCTTCTCGAAGTTTTGAAGGTTGAATTTAATAAAAGCACTAACTAACAACCAAGATCAATTATTTATATGACATTTGCAATAAGCCACTTCACGGCTATATTAGCGATGAAAAACTAGAAGTCAAACAAAAAATTTGATTGTAACACTTGTATAGAGACAGAGGGCTCATCTTAAGTTTTTGTTTAGTGTTGAATTAGAGTCATCAAACTTACAATATGAAGATTGCCAGCCGTGTTTGATGAAGGAAAGGCAAAAGAAGATGGCTAGTGAAAGTCTATCGATATCAAATATTCTGATTGATTTTGACAATAAAGTACATCACTTTGTAGACAACATGTTCCGTAACAGATGAATTCAAAGACTTTGCTTCTTTTCAGTATAAATAAAATTACACGAAACAATACTTTGAAAGCAGTCAAGTAAACAGATGAGCAGCCTAGAACTATTGTTCAAGATTTACTCACATTGTTGTTACCGACAGTTCACCAAGTTCATTTTATTTGTTCTGTATTCAGAACAATTCTTACGATGGGTCGTTATATTTAATCAATTGAAGATGTACCATCTGGAAATATCTGTGGTCTAGTTGGTATTGATGAATATCTAGTTAGAACTGGTACAATAACAACATTTGAAAATACATACAATCTTCGAGTATATTGTTTTATTGAAGTTCTATGAAGAATATTTATATATTTTTGTAGGTAATTAAATTTAGTGTCACTCCAGTCGTACATGTTGCTGCTAAACTAACAAATCCAGCTGATCTACCAAAATTAGTTGAAGATTTGAAACGTTTAGCAAAATCAGATTTTATGATTCAGGTAAGATTTTTTTTAAATAATAACTTATGATGCAATTGTATATTGAATTATAGTTTTTTTTTTATTGAAGTGGAGTATTGAAGGATCTGGTGAACATATTGTATTGAAGAAGAATATGCTTGTATTCCAACAAAAAGTTTCTGATTCA